CATTCATTACACAACTCAATAACACTCAATATCATATTGATTGTCTCACAATTGTTGATATAAATAATCCTTCAACTGATGTTTACTGGTTAGTGAATGGAGTGATGAAGAGTAACTCAATGTATGCATCAATTGGTGTCCTGACATACAACAACACACTACTGGTATATCCTGATCCACTGGAAGTGTCAGTTAATGTTACCTGTATAGCAATGATTGCAGGAGTCAACTACAATCAATCTATGATATTACATGGTGTGTCATTTTTTTACTGACTATATAATTATTTTGTCTCTTTTCTAGCTCCTAGTGGTCCTCCAAATAATGTGAGAGGGTTTATATTAAATGCTACTAGTATCATAGTGAACTGGACCACTTCATCAGAGACTAATGGATATGTGATTGAGTATACTACTGGAGGTGTAACCAGGAATGTAGTATCTTCCAGTGACGATGAAATTGTACTCACAAATCTCTCACCAATTAGCACCTATACCATCAGTGTGTACTCATATATAGATCTTCCTTCAGCCAATAGTACAGTAACAGTGTTGAGATTTGATGGTTAGTTATAATTGAATTTGAAATTATACTGTAATTGATATCTGTGCTATATAGTTCCTAGTCCAGTAACTAGTCTCTCAGCATCTGATGTCTCAACCACTGGTATTACAGTGAACTGGACTATTCCCAGTAGTGACAACTATATAACATACTACATCATCTCCTATACTCCATCTTGTCCCCAGTTATCATCAGTGAATGAGAGAGTCTCTGTTGCTCCTCATCAGTCCACTACAATATACAGTTATACATTAATAGGTCTGTACAGTGGTATGAACTATACCATCACAGTGAAAGCTGGTAATGAACTAGGAAGATCCAATCCTGAATCAATTTATAAGGATACACTGTCATTAAGAGGTATGCATTTACATTTTCATTAGTCTCAACGAGACTACATTTTCATACTTTCCATTAATTTTTAGCTCCTATTGGTGTTCCACATTCTTTTTCTTTATCACAACCTATTAATAATCTCACTTGGAATGAGGTTAATTGTTTTGAGCGTAATGGTCTAATCACAGGCTATATACAGTGGTGATCAGTAACAGTAGTATCACATACAACCTCACCAGTACTGATAGATACATCATATTGAATGATCTAGTATTTGGTACTGAGTATAACATCAGTGTAGCTGCTGTCAATTCTGTTGGAAGAGGTCCCTTCAGTGATCCTATTGTAGTAGAGATTAGAATATTAGGTAATTTTTAATCAAAAATTTGGGTGACTTCACCACTTGATGCATGCTTTACATCAATTTAATGTCATTATGTCAGGCCTGGCGTAATATTGTAAACCCACCTTAATGCTTAAAAATGTTTCAATTGATTTATTTTTAGATACAACTACAGCACCATACTCTCATTATACTTCAGTCAGTACTGCTACTCCATCAGTTTCAGTAACTCCATCAATCAGTGATACAGATAGTGTTATTGCTCTTGGTGTGTCAGTAGGTGTATTGTTGATTCTACTAACTCTCAGTGTTACTGTTAATATCTGCTGCTTAATAAGGTTTTAATAATAGAAAATTAGCAGTAATAATTGGTATATTTTAGAATCAAAGACTTTTTAATGATAAGTGCTAGTAAAGATCCAAAGTTAGTATTATTAATTATGTTTAATTTTCATTGGTAGACATACATTGTATGATAGAACTGAAGATATTGCAATGCAAGCATGTGAACCATATGAACTTCGCAAAAATGAATTAAGGGAAGTGAATGATAAAGATATTGTAATGCAAGTATGTGTACCGTACGAGCTTCGAAAGACTGAAAAGAATGAAGTTGTTTATGATGAGATTCAAGCATCAACTGATGCTACTAGTGAAGAGTACATATGATCATAACTATACTGTAGAACAAAATGTTGATAAACATTAAATATGCAAAGTGTTATGTTAATTTTGAGTGATGTCATCCCTTAATAATAATAATTTTCCCAACACAAATAGTTTTTGCACAATAACACAATGATGAATAATGGAAATATTAATTCTTTTAATTAGTCCAGGTCTTTGTCATTAAAAATATCATCAAAGTCTAAATAAAGAGAAACAGAAAGAAAGGTTATACTATACACAAGAGTATTCATTATCAATGGACGTACCATTGAAGAAGTTGGTGTGAACAGATCTTTCATTCTGAGCCATTTCAGCAGTAATGACTGATCCACCCTAAAACAAACTCAGAATAAACAACACTGTCTCCCTTCAAAATGGTTAAGTGAGAATTCTTCATTTTTATACTTTATTCAGATACACATACATGTAGTCCTTATGCTGAGTATCAACTTTGAGCTGATTTTAATCAAATTTAGATTTTTATGAACGAAGTGTCTACAGGTCCGGTAACCGGACACAGTATTCAGGGCTAGAGGTCCGGTAATAGGGGCTTCGCCCCTATATACACAATGTATATATAATACTGGGGCTACGCCCCAGTATGAATAATCGAGTATAAATCCAAAAACCAGCATCACAAGTGCAGCAGGGTCGTGGTGGTGCAGTGGAGAGGCTCGTGTGGATTGCATGGATGTGGGCAGCGGTTCGAATCCGGTCAGGACTACTGCATGGAACTATGCTACAGTTTATAATTTTTTTTCTTTTTTAAAAATGATTTTTTTGTTTGTTTCTCCTTTTTGGCTTTATTTAGGTCAAGAAATAACACACTCTCGTACATCTTAGCCTCCGGGGTCGTAGGGTTGGGATTGGGGTTTAGTGTTTAGTTTTTAGAGCACCCTCTCGTACATCTTAGCCTCCGGGGTCGTAGGGTTGGGGTATGGGTTTAGTGTTTAGTTTTTAGAGCACCCTCTCGTACATCTTAGCCTCCGGGATCGTAGGGTTTTGGGATTAGGGTTTAGTGTTTCTTGATAAAAAGACCAAGTTCCATTTTGCACTATTGCGCATGCGCACAAGCTGTTTTACGGAGAAA